TTGAACACAGATGCTTTCACTCATAGCCAAATCAATTTAAAAATAAATTGTTTTTTCAAATTGAAAAATTAAAAGCTATTTAAAATATTTTATGTCCCCCCAGAATGGAACAAATTCTGGAAATCAGAAAAAATATGTCCAAAATACCCTGACCACACCCAGACATTTCAGCTCAAAGGACATTTCCACTGCAATCTTTCACCCAATTAGTACAGTTAGAGTAAGGGAGACCAAAGGAAACCCTTAACTCATCACCACATACAGTCTGAAGTCCATGGTGCCATTGCCTGCTCACCGATGCCTGCAGTCTGCAAGACAAAGGGCAGAAGGCTCTGTTTATCCAGAGCCACCTCAAAGCTTCTCAGCCACACAAACACAGGCAAAACTGAGCTTTCTTCCTGCAAAAAGAGAAGACCAGGACCAGGCTGGGCTGGTTCTGCAAGAGGAAAAGGATGGGATAGCAAACACACATCACAAAACCCTGCTGTGGCTTTTAGGCGTTGTTACAGCATCAGTCTCACAGTACACAGACCTTAAAGAATTCTTCCTGATGAGCTCCAACTCTACAGATCCTGAGGAATAACCAAAACACAATGGCAGCCTATAATCCCCTCTATCCTTGTGTCTCCCTTGTTCCTGCTGCATGAATTCAGTGTGGGCACGCCCAGCCAGGTGACTGGGGATGTCACTGCATACTGTGACACACACTGCATATTCTAGATGAGCTGACTTCCTTTTATTTCTGTTCCTCTCCCCTTACATCTTACCTAAACAGCACAGTTCCCAAGTCTCCAACAAGAAATAAAAACAAGGGAATTCAGTGAATGGAGCACACAAGGGGAAAGACTAAGAGAGAACACCACCGAAGATAAGGAGAACATCGCAGGAGTTCTCTTGAGGTTATCACTGAGAAGAGAAGGCTCTGGGGACACCTCATTGCAGCCTTCCAGTACCTAAGGGGGGCTTATAAAAGAGTTGCTTTTTATATGGGCAGGCAGTAACAGAACAAGAGTGAATGGTTTTAAAGCAAAACAAGGGATATTTAGATTACATGCTAGGAGAAAACACTCTGAGGGTGGTAAGGGACTGGAATGTGCTTCCCAGAGAGTTGTCAAATATTATCTACAGTGGCTATTTAAGTCCTCTATGCTTCATGATATGGACCAACCAGCAGCATTGCTTGCTGAGGAGGAAATCCCCGCTGGGGTGTCAGCATGAATTGTAGCTGCTTCCACCCTTACACCGAAGCATCTGTGTTGGTCACTGCTGGAGAAGAGTCAACAACCACTGGCTCCTAAATGGTGACATCTGCTGCTATCAGACTATAATTAATTACCTTGATTTTACAGGTACTACTGGCTCAGGAAGGACAAAGCCTGCAAACTTTCTCTGCTACTATCAAAGAATCCCAGAACCTATTTTTCAAAAGCAAATAGTAAAATTCTTTCTTTGAGCAAAGATTATAGATCATTGGACCTACTCAGTAATTTCCCTCTGTGGCTCTAAGACATAGTTTTCCCCAAAAGTTAATCAATTGTATTCAGTGTTAGAAACACCAACTAACACAATCAGAGCCAAGCCAGAACACATTCTTTGTGCATTTCCCTCCTAGCAAGCACTGTCAAAGCTCAGACAATGACGTTCTGCTAATTTGCCAATAATTTATACAGACACCAGTAAAATGTGCTTAATCCTCAAAGAAATTCAGTTGCTTCTCTCCAGATTTCAAAGAAAAGCATGCAAATGCAGAAATTAAATATATTCCATTTAGTCAAGTGAACACATAACAGTCAGATTCACATTGTTTTATGGCATCAAATAACAGTTTTCTAATGTGATTCCACGTGGAATAAAAGGGGAGGTTGCTGTAAGTATATTTTGGCAGAGCACAGACAGAGGTCATACATACCTGACTTTTAATAGACTCTTAAAGGCTGGCAAAATTTGGTCCTTTACATTGCACCTGATATAATCCCAGGCAATTTTCTTATCGTCAATAAATCACCCAAATTTCACAATTGTTTTCTTTTCTACACCAATTGATATTAGTATGATAGCATCTCCATTCCAGGGTGTTTTTAAGACCTTCTTTTCTGTTTTGGCTTTCAGCGGGGATCAATTTCAGCAAGCTTTGCTGCATATGCCTGCACTTGATGGGGTATGGCTTGCATGCATTTTCATGGCCATGATATTGAAAAAAAATTTTTATTAAATTTCCTTTCAGGAAAGGAAAAGGAATCTTGCGATTTCAATGGGGACCAATGGAGGAATCTTTGGTGCATGTCCCTGCCGTTGATGGCATGCCATGCTTTTTGATGACTTTGACTTAGGGAAAGATTTTTTTCAATTTTTTTTTTTTAAGTGTCTATGCCTTGTCCCTCATATCTTCCCCTCCAAGCTTTGTCTTCCTCCTTGCCTTTTTCCCCTGCTTTCGCAACATCTGTGAGCATAGTTTTGGTATGTTTTGGTCCTTTGCAGTGCAGCTCATTTCCTCACAGCCTCTTTTTTGAAGACACTAAAACTCCCCATTTTCTGCATTTTTCAGTTGCATTTCATTTGGTCCTATCTCCTTTCTAGAGTGTTTCTAAGCCTATCTGTTTGGATTTGGGAAGGGAAAATGAATCTTGCAATTTCAATGGGGACCAATAGAGTAAGCTTTGTTGCATCCCCCTCTTATGGGAAAATGGAAACTTCCCCTCTCTTCTTCATCTTTAAGAGAAAGAATGAATAGTATAAGTCTCCTCAAATATTTCAGTTTTTGTTTGCCTAGTTCTTGGAAAATGCAGTTTTATTTTTTTACGGTAAATAAAGTCTACAGCATTGGTTTGTGTCCCACTATGTTAGCACTGCACCATATACACCATTAGACTGCCTGGGAGAATGTTCAACATCATCATGATAAAATTTTTGGAAGCAGAGCTGCGAAGAGTCATACAGCAAAATCCGTCACAGCTTTTAAAAAAATTCCACTCCATTTTATTTGGGAAACCTAATGGAAAGTGAAGGGAACCCAATGAAACCTGTGCAGTATTAATTCAAATTAAATATATTTTATAAAAATAAGGCGTTTCTGTATTATAGGCATCTGGGTCCAGCAATAAGAAAAGAAATGGTGTTCTGGAGAATGAAGTGTAATTATGGCTGAGAAAACATATGTAGAGAGAAGGGGGAAAATTAAAGGAGATATAGACAAATGCAACTTGATGGCAATGAAAAGCTCTACTCATTACTGAAGAACAGCAATGTTCAGGGAAGGCTGCAGGGCCACCAAACATCTCAAGTCCAAAATTTCAAATATATTTTTACTTTATTTTATGAATGTCCATCAGATATATATCTTTGATGCTACAACACACTAGTTGAATAAAAATCAACAACATAAAACCCCTCATCATAAAAGATTCAAGAAGTGAAACCCCAAAGCCATAACCATTTACTCTGTGAGCATATCATCTTTGACAACCATATATAAATGACATCATGACAACAAATACAATGTACAATAATAAGTGTGCAATGGTACAAAATATACAAAAAGGAATGTGTATTTAATGTACATTCAACATTACCCCATAAAAATCTTTGTGGGAAATTGAAGTGCCTTTTCAAGACCAACAGAAAATGTACACCACTTCAGTCAAGATGCCTGAAGGATCTCCCATCAAAAAAGTAAAGTGTGTGTTCTTTGACTGGAACTATAAAATAACAGAGCTGAATTTTCCCTATTGAAAAAAAAACCTAAACTTCATAAAATTTTTGTTCACATCTAGAGTATAATAAAATATTTAGAGTGCAGAAAATTCAGTTGCATTTAAATTTTGCTTAAAAGTGGGCCCTCTTTTATTGATAGACCTAGCTCAGTCATATAAAATCAAAAATCTATATTCCTTATAGTAAAAAGACCATTTCTGCCCATGTCTCTTTTCTGATTTTGATGCATTCCACAATTCCCATAAATTTGCTGTAATGGAAATATGAGTCTGACCAGAGGTCAATACAAGAATTGTGACTCATTTTCTCTGGCTCTGTACAAGTCTTGCATAATTTTACTCAAATATTTTTTGCCCAAGTTTCAGATTCCTTTGAGTTCGACCTCAGAGGGAATTTCAGGAAATTATTACTGTGGATATTATGAAGATCACATGCTTATAATGTGGCTGATTTTATGGAAATAAAATCACCCAGCCTCCAGTTTCCAAGGCACCATTTTGTGCCTTTCCTCCAGAGCTGCTACTTGTACTGCCACAGAATGCATTCAGATGCTGTGCAAGTACATAACCCATGCTCAGCTCTGCTGGACATACATCCATCCATCCATCCATCCATCCATCCATCCATCCATCCATCCATCCATTCATCCATCCAAACATCCATCCAGCCACCCATCCATCCGTCATCCATCCACCCATCCATCCATCCGTCATCCCTCCACCCACCCATCCATCCATTCCTCCATCATCCATCCGTCCACACATCTAACCATTCCTCATCCATCCATCCATCATCCATCCATCCTTCCATCCATCATCCATCCATCCCTCCATCCCTCCATCCCTACCCCTTCCTCACATGAGCTCAGGAATAAAGGAGGCTGGGTATTTCTACGAAGCCTCTCAACTGACAGAGCTGATCCTTCATTCCCAAAAGTTGAGATTTTTGCTGTACCTCTAGAATTCAGGTTTTGCTGGTTCCTAGCCCTGGGAAAAGCGACATTTACCCACCCCAAGGGAGAGCACTGAATCTGCCAAAGACCTCTCTTGAAAGGACAAGCTTCCACAGAGAGGGACAAGTGCCACTTGCACTGTAGGTACCACTTTACATCTCTGTAAAGAGTTTGAACCTGCTACTGCCTACAAACTCATGGGCCCAGACCTACAATTCACACAACAGCTGTTACCAAGTTTAAATTTAATACCACTAGGTTTTACTCCAACCTTGATGGCCATGACTTGGGCACCAGAATGGGTTCAATTTGCAGGTGCAACAAAATTCCTTTTGCATTAGAGGTTAACACAGACCATCCAGACCTTCAAAGCATTAAAATCAAAAGTATTTTCCAAAGTTCAAAACTCACCCAAGGTTCATTCCGAGTACCATTCACAATTTTGATTTCAAGAAAGACTCACAGTTGTGCCAGTAAACAACAACACACAACCTTAGCAGGAGGTTGCAGGCCTCTCTGAAAATAATTTCTTAGGAGTATGCACAGGAATGAGAAGGAAATGAAAGGTACCTATAAATCATATGGCATGCCTGAGTGTTGCCCAGGTGAATGCAAAAAATTCATGTTATTTGCAGTATGTATATCTCTTCCTGAGTTGAATTTCATTCCCAGTAAGGAATCCAAGAATCTGCTTTCTTTTTTTGGCAAGGTACTCAATCACATGGTAAGGCAATCCATTTTTCTGGTTTGCTTCCTGTCTTCTTTCCTCTTAAAAGGCCAAGCATTTCTCACCAAGATCACCACTATAATGTGTGCCAGAATATGTTTAAAATATAGTCCTGTAAAAATAGAAATTAGGTTTGTTCCTTTGAAGGCAGCATTAATTCTTCATATATTCTGGGATCTTGAAGATTTCAGCTGAACAGATTCAAAATTATCTTCCTTTTCCTGCAATGGAAAGACAGGTTCCCATCAACTGGATTTCTTCAAAATCTCCCCAGCAGTCAGCACAATCATTTCTGCTCTCAATATCCTTTGCCAAAAACTTCACTTTATTTTTACTATGGTAATTAAGTGCACAGTTTGACCCTTTAATATTTAATAACATTACTAATTCTGTAAAAAATTTGCAAAACCAATAAAATTATGCTATAGCTATTGTTCATGGTACTTATTTTAGAGGGTGCAGGGAAATTAATTTCATATTCAGAGAATAGGACAAGTAGTCTGAGCTGGGGAATTGCAAGATTCCCTCAATAATCATCTCTATGGTTATTATCAGTTATCAATGTGTTTCCTGCAAAATATAAAATGCTTGAAGCACAGAATGTGAGTGTGAACACCACTGCCTTGGTCCTGGATTCCAATCTCAACAACTCCTCTGGGAGACCCACAAGACAAAACATCAGTTTCCATATTAAAAATCAGGGCTGGAGAGTTGAGTTTTCTCTCTGTTTTCATTTGGCCAGCAGGCATCAGGGTGAGCAAGAAATGTGGACTTAGACACCCAAATAGTCTGCAAAATGTCCTGAATTACCTTCATAATCTGATTTTTAAAGCCCTCTCACACAGATCAGGACAGTCTAGTGCAGACTTGAGAAAGAAGGGGAGAAATTGTCCTATGCTAGTCCAGTGAAAAATATCTGTTCTGAAGAGCCTGGTATTGTCATGCTGGAAACAACAGACCCAACAAGAACAGCCCCCAATCTGAAACAGGTTTGTAATTATTTGGCTTATATCTTCTCATTAAAAATAAGTCATCCCTTTCTATATTACAGGCCCAGCCCTCAATCCCTTGGGTACTCGAACCCACTGGTATCTTTGTGACACACTGGCAGAAATGCCATAGCCTGAGGCTTGAACTTATAGTTAGGACACTGCAGATTCTCTTTCTCTCTCATTTTACATTTCTCCTTTTTCTCCCCTGTTTTCCTTCCATATTTTTTTTCTGTATTTTACATGCATATTTAGCAGGACATTAATTTCTTCATCTTTTGCATAAATGAAAAGCAATACCTATAACATTTGGTTTTTTTATAAATATATATTAAATTTGAGTTATCTGTGGGGGTACAGGACACAGAGCTGAAAAAGCTAATGAGGTACTGGAAGTTGAATTTACCAGCTATTGTTATCTAGCAGTAAAAAAAGGAACAAGCTTAGAAATAACTGACAAGCTTGTTGAAAATGGAGAGAACACTCAGGAGGCCTGCTACAGTGGATATAGGAACATTAAAAAGCTCCAAGAAGGCATTCAAGCTGTCTGAATACTGAAGTACTAAAGCTTAATTCTATTTTAGCAACATCACCAGAAAATTTTATGTGATTGGATGTTATTTACATCTTCAATATTCTCAATATTGAATTAAGAATTAATATTGAATTTCTGCCCCATTCCACAAGGAAAAATATTGATTTTGCAGGACAAATAGTCAGGCTGGGTTCAAGGGAAAGTTTCTGCACATTATCTGTGCAATGGTAACTTCTCCTAGGAGGGATATCTGAGGAGCAGGTAGTGTGGCAAGAAGACACCAGTCAAACAAAAAAAAGTTTAAAAATGAAGAGAAAAGAATAATAAGGGAAAAGAAAGGCAGCACACAAGTTTTAATTATTTTGCAGCCAATCACAGAAAGAAACAAAAAGGGATACAGGGAAGAAAATCTCAAAATTCAATATTCTGAGATATTATTTGGACAATAAACTGGAGTACAATGTTTTAAAATTAATTTTTATCATGGTATTTTAAGAGAATTTCCAAGAAACTGACTTCAACAAAAGTGTTTGAAAGGGAAAATGTCATTTGCCTTTATCCTGATCATAACAGATGCCCCCACTGGAATCCCTTAAAGACAACACTACCCTTTCCACAGCACAGATTTCAAGGCATTTGGAACAAAGAATAAAGAGCTTTTGGGATCTACCATGATGGTCCTCTGTGGCTCCTCTCAGAAATGCTCAAAGGACACCAAAGAGTTTGGTGCTGTCAATTCAAACATGCAACAATCCACACCACATCTACTGCAGAAAAAATTGCTTTTTTTGGTGCTGCTTCCCACTGAAATGGAGGAGGCTGCCGTGTTGGGCAACAGGATGAAGATGATTTAACTTCAACTGAATCCTACTCAAAATTATGGCTCTCCAGCCAGCCATTAAGCCAGCCCAAGTGAGCTGCAAGCAGTGGCTGGTGGCTGTGCTGCCAGTGTTAATTTTTTGTATCTCTAATAGCTGTATTTGCCTCAGCAATGGTTGTGCCTGGGAGGATTCCAGGCAAAAAGGTTCTCTCTTCCATTACCTGTTTTTTTCTGGTGTCACCCATGCAATAAAAAATGCTACTGAAATCTCTCTGTGCAGGAAGGAGCACTTACCCAAAAACCCTACAACATTTCTTAATTTTATCCAGACTGTGGATTTCAGCAGATCACTATGGACTGGATGAGGTGTGCGTGGGAGGCTGCACTGCTGTGAAATTAGCATCAAAGACTCATCACATCCAGTAATAAAAAAGGTAATAATTATTTTTGTATTAATATTGGTAATTACTGCTCACCTTTGTTGCCAAGGATTTGAGCTTCCCCAGCAGTGACTGCTTATTTGAATACACAATTTCTTCTTCATTATCTTCTCCTTCCATTATAGCACAGCTGTCAGCAGCTGGCAGTTCACACTCTTTTGAGTTCGTTGTCATCACTAATTTGGAATATTTATACTCCAGCCTGAAGATATAAAGCCACACAGGAATAGATTTTTTTTCTCAAGTGTCCCATACTCAGGGGTTTTGTAATTTAGATTGTCTGCAGTCCTCCCACATAGTTACTTCTGAGGCAGTGGAAATTAGATACTTTTCAATCATTAAAAATATGTAACCAAAATAGTACTAACAATACACTGAGCTCTTGCTTTCCAATTAGTCCTCTATCCTTATAAAAGAACCATGTTTTCCCAAAAGACCAAGGGGAGGTCAAGAGGACTTCCCGCATGAAGAAGTGCTGGTTGGAGTAACAACCAAAACAGAACTGAACAATATGGTCAAGAACCTAATTTTTTACCAAGCTGAAAGGACTAATTAGACTAAAGATACTCTTTTGGTCTTCAGATCTTGAGAAAGCCACGTTGTTTCAGAAACTACAGTCAACTTAAAACTCTCAAGAGTTAAAAAAAATTTGGAAATTATGCCATTGCAAATTACCGTGGATGTTCTATACTTTCCTCGCTGAAATTTTTTATAGCCACCATTGACAGAAGAAACATCAACTTGGTGTGTGAATGGATTGATCCCACAAGGTACTGCTCATCAAGAGTGTCATAAAGTCAGATGAAGGAAAAGTCACTCCATCAAGCTTTTAGCTAACTTTTAAATGCAATACAATTTGCAGTACTTACTTCTGGTTCTTCTTCCAAAAGTAACAAGTCAAGGCTATGAGCAGAACAGCTGTGAAAGCACCAACACCAGCTCCAACTTTAAGCCAAAAATCCACTGTTTCACAAGTGCTGGTCCTTTTTTCTGGCAAGGAAACTCCTTTAATGCAATGCTTTGGCTCATTCCATACATATAAGGTTTCCTTTCAAACAGAAAACACCAAGAAGTGAGCTGCTTGTAGGAAAAGAGAGAACTGTTTAGACTTACAGAAAACAAGCTGGTCTCGGGTAGAAAGGTCAGATAACTTTTTAGTGAAAGCAAACCAAAACACCCTTTAGGTTTTCAGTTATATTGTATAATCAGTCCTCTCCTTGCTTGGGCCTGCAGGTTCAGGCATGGCAAAAGGATTTCCTCCCCTGTATAGGTCTCCATGTGGCACAATATGGGCTGGACAGTTATTGGGAATAAGTTGTGCCTGCACAGGAGCTGTTGATCAACAGGAGAGTTTGAACCTGTGGAAGAACTTCCTAATATTTGACTTGAGAAGGCAGCAGCAAAAACTTTGCAAGCAAGTAGGATGAATTTATAAATTGACATTTGGAAACCTTTCCTAGCCTGCCCCGATGTTTACGGCTATGAAACAACTGAAGTCTTTAGGGCACTCCATCCTTCAGAAATAACTGTCCTGCAAATCTGAATGCATTGAGAGTTCACATCCTTACTCACACAGCTGGCAGCACACACCAGTTCTCTTGCAGGAACCACACTGACATTGACACAAACATTCCTGAGTCTGAACACAGCCTCACCCTCAGCTTCCATCCCAGCCAGCTCAGAGCCTGGGCTGAGATCTTCCAACCCCCTCACACATCAATTTGCACACCACAAGAGTCCAAGTTATACCCAAATGAGCCCATCTGACTTTGAGACATGGGTGCTGTACCTGAAATCCTTTTTTGCAGGCTCCCTCAATCTCATGGTAGTCTTGCTCTGTGCAGAGAGGACAAGCTTCTGCACTTTCCCAGAGGAAGTAGAAAGTGCATCCATCACAGGTGCCTGCAGGGCAGGAGCTATGAGGAGAGCAGAGCTCAGTTATCAGTCAGGAAAGAAACACTCTGGGGTTTGCATCCTCACCCACCTTCTGCTGCTGAAGATTGGGAATGGGAAGTGTGAGAAATGGGTAAACATCCATCGAGTTAGCAGATGGAAGAATCTGGGGAGAGAATTTTTCCTGGTTTGTAAAGTGCTTTCTCAAGTGAAAACAGGTGTTGAGCTTTCAAAGATCTAAAAGGAGTGGGGAGAGAGAAAGAGAAAGAGAAAGAGAA